AAAAAAAAAAAAAAAAAAGCCAAGTGTGGTGACACACGCCTGCAATCCTGGTTACTCAGGAGGCTGAGGCAGGAGAATCACTTGAACCCAGGAGGTGGAGGCTGCAGTGAACAGAGATTGTACCACTGCACTCCAGCCTGGGTGACAGGGTGAGACTCCATCTCAAAAAAAATAAAAAATAAAAATAAAAGAACATAAAATGCTGACTCAAAAATACTCATTTTGTATTCACTCAAAACAAAAATAACAATTTAGGCCAGACACAGTGGCTCATACCTGTAATCCCAGCACTTTGGGAGGGCAAGGTAGGTGGATCATGAGGTCAGGAGTTGGAGACCAGCCTAGCCAACATGGTGAAACCCCATCTCTACTAAAAATACAAAAAAATTAGCCGAGTCTGGTGACACACGCCTGTAATCCTGGTTACTCAGGGGGCTGAGGCAGAAGAATCGCTTGAACCCAGGAGGTGGAGGCTGCAGTGAGCCAAGATGGCACCACTGCACTCCAGCCTGGGCAACAGAGCGAGACTGCCCCCAAAATTAAAATAAATAGTGGCTTATTGACTCTTCTAAAATACTCTCAGAATTAGATATCCTGGCAGAATGAGAGCCAAGAGAGAGGGAAAGAAAGTGAACACAGGGAAGAGGAGATCATCGGACAGAACAAAGCCCTCAGCGGGCAACTGGTGATACTGGCGGCAAGGCTGGCCTTAAAGGGGAGGAGAGATGGGAAGGAGAGTGGTGAGGAATGGCGGCAGAGGCAGAGAAGTTTGTATCAGAGACAGGGAGGAAACGAGGTCATTCTCATACGATAATCTCCACCCTCTTAGGGGAGGAAGCATAGCTGTCTGCTGAAAATGAGGGAGAGAAGCAAAAATTTCAAATCATTACTGAGGGAATGGGAGAGGGATCTATAGAGGAACTCACAGGATTGCTAGAAAAATGTCTGACTTAGACAAACTCTTCAGGCCTTAACTCCTCATCTATAAGGTGGGGATATTTTACATTCCTCAATAAGGATAAAACAAAATACACAAAAAGTGATTTGTACAGTATGAATGATACACAAGTATTATTGATGATGTTAAACTTTCTTCAGATTACTTTGAAATTTCATTCCCTTAATCCTCCTGACATACATAGTTGGACATATAATGTATCAATTATATGCATTTAATTATTTCACATGTTGTTATTTCTGCAGCCAGGCTCTAAACTATTTGTGAGCAGATGTGTTCCATACATCTGTGAAGCTTCAATTCTGGCTAATAAAACATTAGGTCCCCAGTAGGGACTTGGTAAATTCTTGTGGACTGTATTGATTCCCCAGTCTTACTGCGCGTCTGGCACTGTGCTGTGTGCTGGTGAATTTGCTAGTATTATATTTTACCAAATGGGCAAATGGAGACACTAGTCATTCCATTTTAGACAAAATTAATTTTCACTATTGTGATCATAAATCTTATACTCTGACTAGCTTGACCTATTTCATATTTCGGTATTTGCCATCTTTAAGACTTTTCCATATAGAGTAAATGTTGATCAAGGGAAGAAAATGTTTCTACCTGGGTGCAGTATTCAATCCTCTCCAAAATGATGGCAAAGTTGGGCCTGTCTTCAGGCTGATGTTGCCAGCACTGAGTCATTATCCGGTATCTAAAAGAAGCAGCACATTAATTAAAATCAGGAGAAGCACAACGATGAAAAATATATTTTGTTCCAGCCCCAGGGTTGGAATGAATACGTTGAGGGTGGGAACTTGTCTAGGCCCGTGTACTTGGCCTATGCTGCCCCCTGCTGATTGGTCAAGGAAGAGTGTGCAGGTGTAAAGGTATCTAACACAGACATCCTGATGTTTACGTTAACTACGGCTGCTCTCATTCCATTCCTGAATTAAAGCCACTTCGGGGACAGAATATTCCAATTACATTTCCCATCTGCGTTGCTTGTGGGAAGGAAGTGAGGGGTGCCAGGCAGGGCAGCAGACATTGCAGGGAATGGAAATCTTTAAAGTAGACATGGACATACAGTGTACGGCAGCAGGGCCTGGGCCTGGGACACACATTCCCAGCAGGAGCTTGGGGAATGTAGACTTGGCGAGTCCACAGCCTGTAGCCAGACAATGGACACTTTTTCTGGGATGGCATCATTGCTTTTGAGGGCCTGGGAGACCCACCCATCTCATTGAAGTCACAGTCACATTCCCATCTTGGGGCATATTAAAGGGAGGGCAGCTATCTACCCCTTCATCTTAAAGAAGCATATGTGACTCTGGATATTTTTTGAAAAGAAAAACTGCTTAGTAACTACTAGTAGAAAAGTTCCTAAGAGAGTCATACACAGGCCCAGGGCAGTTCTTGGGTGGGTCCATCCGGCCTCCACTGGTGACGAACTCCAGAACTTCCTGGTTGCTTTTGCTGGGATATGGCATATATCCGAGAGAAAAGATTTCCCACAGCAGCACTCCAAAGGACCTGGGCATGGGACAGAGGACATGGAGATGGATATAGACACACCCACCCACATTCACTCACACACTCACACAGGCACACAGACATACAATTTCAACCCTTTTTTTTGTTTCATTATACCCTTGGCCATAATAGAGAACTCTTAAAACGTAGAAAACTTTTAAAAATAAGAAAATACTGCACGTGATGCTCCCTTAAAAGACAACCACTGTTAATGTGTAAGTCGTTTCTGTGCTGAGATTTTTTTTTCACTTAGTCACAGTTATATTCAATATGCAATTTTGGACCTTGATTTTTCCGCACATTTCATTATAGCATAAATATTTTCCGTGCCAGCACATATTATAAATAACATTTGGAATGGCTAATGGCTATAAACATTCCATTGAGTAGTTGGTTTGCCTTATTTCCACATTGTTTTCAGTTTTCAAAATATTTAAAATACTATGATGAACATCTTGGTGCATTTTTTAAAGGGAAGATTTTAAGATAAAGGCTCTGAATTACTAGATTAGGATGTACAGCCAGCTGATTCCATAGTCTCTTACAGTTCTCTGAGCTTCAGTTCCATCTATCAGATGCCCACTCATCAACTTCACTGGTGTATTTTAATAGGCAACTCAAATTTAACATGCCCAAATGGAACTCTTTCTGTACACACACCATCTCCTCCTTCATTCTTTTCCAGCTCAGCAGCATCTCTGGTTATACGTTCAAGCCCAAAACCTAAGAGTCGTCCTTGATTCCATTCTCCCACACTCCTCCACTTCCCATCCAACAGTCAGCAGTCCTATTAACTCTACTTTCTTTTTTTTTTTTTTTTTTTTTTTGAGACGGAGTCTCGCTCTGTCGCCCAGGCTGGAGTGCAGTGGCCGGATCTCAGCTCACTGCAAGCTCCGCCTCCCGGCTTCACGCCATTCTCCGGCCTCAGCCTCCCGAGTAGCTGGGACTACAGGCGCCCGCCACCTCGCCCGGCTAGTTTTTTGTATTTCTTAATAGAGACGGGGTTTCACCATGTTAGCCAGGATGGTCTGGATCTCCTGACCTCGTGATCCGCCCGTCTCGGCCTCCCAAAGTGCTGGGATTACAGGCTTGAGCCACCGCGCCCGGCCCAACTCTACTTTCAAGATAGGTCTTGAATCCAGATAGGATAATCTAGTAATTCAGGGTGGTTACTGAATTAAAATGTAGGATAGTTCTAGTAAAATAAATAGATCAAAAGAATATGAATGTTGACAAATTCTTGATACATACTATTTGGTTTCCAAATGTGTTATTCCATTCATCTACCAGCACCATGTAAAAGCGTGGTAGACACACTCACCAGCATTGAGTATTCTTAATAACAACAACTTTTGCTGATTTTAAGGCAAAAAATGGTAGAATATTTTAAATTATGTTTATTGACTTGATAATTAACATGGTTGGATGCTTTCCCAAGTGTTTATTAATTCATTTCACTTTTTTCCTATGAATTGCTCATTTTTACGGTATCTATCAATTTTCTTTTTGATTTGTAGGCATTCTTTGTATGTCAGAGATGTTAACCTTTTATAAAAAATTCAAATACTTTTATTAATTTCTTTCTTTTTTCTTCTTTTTTTTTGGGGGGGGGAGATGTAGTCTTGCTGTTACTCAGGTTGGAGTGCAGTGGCGCCATCTTGGCTCACTGCAACCTCCACCTTCCAGGTTCAAGTTGATTGCCTGCCTTAGCCTCCCAAGTAGCTGGGATTACAGGTGCCCATCACAATGCTTGGCTAATTTTTGTATTTTTAGTAGAGACAGGGTTTCACCATGTTGCCAGGCTGGTCTCGAACTCCTGACCACAGGTGATCCTCCCACCTCAGCCTCCAAAGTGCTGGGATTACAGGTGTAAAACACCGCACCTGGCCTTAGTTACTTTCTAATGCTACTTTTTAGCATACCAAAGATTTTTATTTTGAGATAGTCAAACCTATTTTTTTTTAATGTCATGATTTCCTTTACTTTATAGTTATACAATCTTCCCTTCGCCAAAGATTAGATAAATATTTGCTATCTTCTTCTAGTTGTGTTTGTTTTTCCGCTCTTCTTAAATCTAGTTGGAATTTAATTTGGTGTCTAGTGTGAGGTAAGGACCTAAATTGATTTGCTTTTCAAATAACTACTCTTCCAACACTATGCATAAGATAATTTCCTCCTTACCCATTGACTCATGATTAAAAACAGGTCTGTTTCTGGCTATATTTTCACTACGTCTACTTGTCTGCTTCTTGCATTGATACCATTCTGTTTTACTTTTTGTGTATTTGTCTTAATATCTGATAAGGCATTTTTGTCTATTTCTCTTTAAAAAATATTTGATTTCTCATTTGTTGTTTTAAAAGCTTTATGAGATGAATTCTTCGTGTTCTAAAAGAATCACCTTTGATATTTTGATTAAAACTTTAAACCACTACTCTAATGATTAGCTTTTTGACAAAGACTATCTTTTAGTGTCTGACTGTAGTTTTCTGAGGTTAGCAAATATTACCACAAAAATTGTAGAGAAAATAGTTCCTCCATCTTCTAAGAAACATGGGGTGCTTTTATTGTCATCATCTGTGTGAAATGTCAAAGACTATTGTGAGAAGGATTGGGCAAAGATATTTTCCCTATTTTTCAGGGGAGAAGGTTGAAGCAGAGGTTATTATACAACTAATCTGAGACAGACTGGAATACATTATTAGATCTCTTGATTTTGCTACCTACAAATTGCCTGGCACGTATATTCTTCCTTTCTGTTTGGCGATCTTACTTCCCCTTCAAGGCAAAACTAACTAGGCAAAATCAAATGAGCAAGAAACTGGCAATAAGGCCTAAAGAATTACAGCTATATGTTTTCCGCTTTTCTAGATAGATACAGGTTATAGCATCCTTTGAGAGCACTAATAGAACTGTACATGGATATTTATTTTCTTAGAGTTCAAGGGAGCAATAAGTAGTATTGGTCATAGAACTTTGATAATTTCGAACAAGTAGGATTGTCCTATTTGCAAATAACAATACCAGATACCTAGTTAAATTTGAGTTCCAGATAAGCAACAAATAGTTTTTTTAGTATATGTATGCTCCAATATTTATACTAAAAAACTATTTGCTGTGCATCTGAAATTCAGTTTCACTGGCCATTTTGTATTTTATCTAGAAACCCTACAGATAGGGCAAATCTATATTTTGTATGCCAGATGGTTCTTTCATCACCTATAAGCCTGCCTTAAAAGGAGCGACAAAGTCCAAAGCTTTGCACCAGAGCATTTAAAATCAAATAAAGAGAAATAGATACATATATATATATATATACATTTAAAACTTCACTTTCTTTTTGTATTAAACTTGCTCTGCCTGAGATGATAGAAATAGCATACATCATTGCTGATTAAACTGTTAAACATTTGAATCAATGAAGATAACAATCTGATAAAAGATTTTAAAATAACAAGCTGCTCTGTGTCAGCCTTTAAAAGCTACATTTTTCTCCTTAATCATAACCTGAAAGGAGGTTATGATTAAAGAAAAAAGGCCATTGTGGAAGATGGTCTCCAGGTGTGATACAGGGTATGTACTTAGAAAAAGTGGGAGCCAAAGATTAATATCTTTAAATGTCCATCCAGCAGATTCCAATATCTCACGCAGTTCTTTGAGCTTCGGTTTCATCTATCAGATGCCCACTCATTAGCTTCACTGGCCTATGTTAATAGGCAACTCAAATTTAACATGCCCAAACGGAACTCCTTCTGAACCCACACCATCTCCTCCTCCATTCTTTCCCAACTCTGCAGCACCTCTGGTTATGCATTTGTTCAAGCCCAAAACCCAGGAGTCATCCTTGACTCCGTTATCCCACACCCCTCCATTTCCCATCCAACAGTCAGCAGTCCTGTTAACTCTACGTTCAAGAAAGATCTTGAGGCTGGGCGCTGTGGCTCACGCCTGTAATCTCAGCACTTTGGGAGGCCGAGGTGGGCGGATCACTTGAGGTCAGGAGTTCGAGACCAGCCTGGCCAACATGGTGAAACTCCGTCTCTACTAAAAATACAAAAATTAGCCGGGTGTGGTAGCACAAGCCTGTAATCCCAGCTACTTGGGAGGCTGAGGTGAGAGGATTGTTTTAACCCAGGAGGTGGAGGTTGCAGTGAGCTGAGATGGCACCACTGTACTCCAGCTTGGGCAGCAGAACGAGACTCTGTCTCAAAAAAAAAAAAAGTCTTCAATCTGACTACTTTGCACTACCTCCACTGCCACCACCAAGCCACACCACTCTCCTCTTTCTCTCAGCTAGCAATGTGCAGGATTTTCTTAACTGGTTTCCTTCTTCACTTACCCACCTCTAGCGTAAATTCAATGGCAGAGGGATTTTTTTTAAAAAAGCAAAGATCATATCACACTCTTGCTTACAACCCTTCAACCGGCATCCCATGGTGTTTAGAATAAAATCCACATCCCCTCATCTGAGCTCCAAGGCTGTCTGTGTTGTGACCCATCCCTTCCACCCCTACTGGCCCTGGGCTCCCTTAGCTCCGACCATCAGGACTTGATTTAATTTCTCAGCAAACAAGCTAGGCTCATTCCTACCTCTGGCTGTTCACACTGGCTTTTTTCTGGAAAGTCTTTTCCCAGTTCTTTCCAAGGCCTGCCCTTTCTGTCTTTCAGGTATTGAAGTTACCTCCTGTGAGGAGCTTCCCCTCGCCCACCTTTGCCAAAAATCCCCCAGCTCCTCCTTCTTCTGCCTGATTGTCTTAGAGCACTTCCCAATCCCTGCAGCTATGTAATTTGTTTAAGCATTCCAGTTGTGAAACAGTCAAAACTTTAAAAAGAACCAGAGTATCTATGTATCTAGATGTTAATCTTTTGCCTTATTTGTGTCAGCTCTCCCTTTCTTTATGAAGACTTCAGAGACAGGAAGACCCCACCTCCCTCTCTCCGCTCCCCTGAAGTTAGACTGTATCCTACCCTTGTATGTTTCACATTTTTAAACAATGCCTGAAAGCACGAACAATACTCTGTATTATAGACATTTTTTACATTGTAAAGTTATACATAAATGATATCCTACTCCTTTTTGTAATTTGCTTTTTCCCCACTGAACACTGTTTTTGAGATTTATCTATGTTGATACATGTAGGTTTAGTGTGTTCTTTTATACTGCTGAATAGTTTTCCATGATATAAGTAAACCACAGTGAATTTTTCCATCTCCTAGTTGAGGGGTAGTTGGGTTGGGTTTTGTTTTTATTTTGTTTTGCTTTTTCTCGATTGTAAACAATGTTGCAAGTGAACATCCAGCGCCCAAGTCTATTTGTGTCATCTTCTCTCTAATACTTAAAAATAGGAGTGTTGGGTCACGGGATGTGCATGTGTTCAGGACAATTACTTAATTGCTTAAGTTATTCTCTGTCTCTGGATCCCCTGGGTTGCTGGTGCTCTAGCTTCACTGCATATCATATCAGAATCATCTGTTAACACACAGATTGCGGAGTCCCACCCCTAGAGTTTCTGTTGTATTAGGCCTGAGGTGGGGGCTGAGGATTCGCAGTTCCCAGGTGGTGCTGATGGACCACACTTAGAGATCCACTGGGTTACGTTAAAACCAAATCTCACTGGTGTAAAAACAACAAAGGCTCTTGCTCTCATTATGTGACACTGGTCAGAAAGGCAGCTCTGGCCATTCGTGGAGGCATCGTGTTATGACATGATCTCAGCGCCGGGCTTTCAAAATGTGGAGGTTGTTCATTCATGCATTGTCTTCTTACGTTTCCTGTGGTGCTGTTAAGTGATTTGATGCCATTTGGATTCCTTATCTTTTATCACTAGTATTTTTTACTATTAATTTTTAAATTTTTCTTCATGGAAGTTTGCAGGATCTTTATCACCATTGGCCTGAGGATGTGCCTTTTTTTTTTTTTTTTTTTTAAGAGACAGAGTCTTGCTGTGTTGCCCAGGCTAGAGTGATCTCGGCTCACTGCAACCTCCGCCTCCCAGGTTCAAGCAATTCTCCTGCCTCAGCCTCCCAAGTAGCTGGGATTACAGGCACCCACCACCACGCCCAGCTAATTTTTGTATTTTTAGTAGAGATGGGTTTCACCATCTTGGCCAGGCTGGTCTTGAACTCCTGACCTCATGATCCACCCACCTTGGCCTCCCAAAGTGCTGGAATTTCAGGCATGAGCCACTGCGCCCAGCCAAGGATGTGCCCTTTTTATCCACGGTGATTGGCACTTGGTGAATTCTTTCATTCTGGAAATTTATGTCCTGTACTAGGAAATCTTGAATGATTTCTCTGCTGTCTTTATTCTCCTCATTTCCTCTGTTCCTTCTCTCTGGGACTCCTATTTTGTCAGCTAATTGGACCTTTTGGTTTATACCCCTTAATTTTTTAAATAAAAAATTCTTATATTTTCCTATATTTCCCATTTCTTTTTAGGTTTATTTTCTGGAAGGTTTATTTAGCTTCACACTCCATCCTTTTCATTACTTTTACATTTCTGTCATCAAATTTTTAGATAATAAGATTTGTTTTTTAGAACAGTTCAAACTTGGAAGAAACTGTGAATACAGAGTTCTCCTGTACCTCATACTCGATTCCTGCTACTTTTAGCATCACATTAGTATGATACAGTTGTTACAATTAATGAACCACAATTAAGGCATTATTGACTGAAGCCCATACTTTATTCAGCTTTCCTTAGTTTTCACTGAATGTCCTTTTTCTATTCCAGAATCCCACTAGGATATCGCATTACATTGAATTGTCCTGTTTCTTTAGGCTTCTCTTGACTATGACAACATCTCCGACTTTCCTTGTTTTTTATGACCTTGACAGGTTTGAGGCTCTGGTCAGGGATTTTGTGGAATATTCCTCAATTGAGATTTGTCTGTTCTTCTCATGATTAGACTGTGGTTATAGGACATGGGGAGGAAGAAGACCACAGAGGTAAAGTACCATTTTCATCACATCAGGGGTGCATACCGGCAACACGACCCAGTCCTGTTGTTGTTGTTGTTGTTGTTGTTATTATTATTATTATTATTATTTGAGATGGAGTTTCGCTTTTGTCGCCCAGGCTGCAGTGCAGTTGCACAATCTCAGTTCACTACAACCTCCACCTCCCAGGTTCAAGCATTTCTCCTGCCTCAGCCTCCTGGGTAGCTGGGATTACAGGGGCCCACCACCATGCCCAGCTAATTTTTGTATTTTTAGTAGAGATGGGTTTCACCATGTTGGCAAGGCTGGTATTGAACTCCTGACCTCAAGTGATCCACCTGCCTTGGCTTCCCAAAGAGCTGGGATTACAGGCATAAGCCATTGTGCTTGGCCCCTAGACTTATCACAGTTGAGGTGGACTTTGAGCACCTGGCTGAGGTTGTATTTGTCAGGTCTCTCCACTGTGAAGTTTCTTTTTTCCGTCTGCCCCAGCCCTATACTCTTTGGAAGAAAGTGAGAACACGCAGCCCACACAGGCTTCAGGGCAGCCCTGCCCATCTCCTCGAGGCTGCCTCTTATCACACTTGGATTTCCTTATCCTCCTAAAACTATTGTTTAAAATAACCTTTTGTCATCCATTTATGGTTGCAATAGTTTTTCTGATCTTTTGGAGGATATTATAGTTTTTAAAAAAAGTTTTCCTAAACTTTCTACATGTTTCTTCTTTCAAGTTCCTTTTTATATGTTTGTTTTCTTCAGATTAGAATATGTTCTCAAGTGTTTGTTGATTCTTGGTTGTCTGTTCATATTTTAAGACCGGGACATTAAGAAGCCATTGGAAAGTTCTGTGTAAGACATTGGCTGGTGGGCAGCTTGCTTGCTTGTTTCACTGGGTGCAATTTTCTGTGACTGCTGTAAACAAAACAACACAAACAAACAAAAAACTACATGCTTGGTGGCTTAAAACAACATAAGTTCATTCTCTGAGAGTTCTGAAGGCCGGACCTCTGAAACTGGTATCACAGGACTGAAATCAAGGTGTCAGCAGGGCTGTGTCCCCTCCGGAGGCTCTAGGGGAGACTCTGTTCCCTGCTGCTTCTGGCTTCTGGTGGCTGCGGGACCTCCTTGACTTGGGACCGCATCTCCAGTCTTGGCCTCTGTGCTCACACTGCCTCTTCTTTTGTGTGTATGACATCTCCTGGTCCTTCTCCCTTATATGGATACTTGCGATGGCATTTAGGGCCCACCTAGATAATCCAGGACAGCTGCCCCACTCTAGGATCCTCAACTCCATCACATCTGCAAAGACCCATTTTTCTTATAAGGCAACATTCTGGGCCTCTGGGATTAGAACGTCATACCTTCAGGCGGCCATTATTCAGCCCACTGCACCTGTGCCCCACTTGGCAGTGCTGTATCTGTAATTTTCTCTTCCATCGGTCCTCCAAAGAGAAATGATCTGATCTCCTGCCCAGCTGCCAGTGTTCTTGGTGCTGGGGGGCCAGTGGGGGCCAGGACCAGAGAGAATTCAGTTCAGTCTCTTCAGAGGAGAGAGCCCCAGTCTTGTGCTGATGGTAGATGAGGAACAGCCAGCAAGCTTCAGGGGTGAGGAGCTCAGCCACAGGATTTAGTTATTCCTTAAACAGACCTTTCATGAATTTTCCTGTTTGCTATACCTCCCCTTCTTTTCTTCCTCCCTCCCTCTCTTCTCTCTCCTCTCTTCTCTCCTCCTCCCTCCTACCCCCTCCTCCCTCCCCCGCTTTCTCTCTCTCTCTCTCTCTCTTTCTCCCTCTCTTGCTTGCCCAGGTTGGAGTGCAGTGGCATGATCATAGCTCACTGCAGCCTTGACTTCCTGGGCTCAAGTGATCCTCCCATCCAAGCTTCCAGAATAGCTAGGACCACATGCGTGTACCATGACACCTGGCTAATTTTTAAATTTTTGGTAGAGATGGGGCCTTTGCTATGCTACCCAGGCTGGTCTTGAACTCCTGGGCTCAAGCAGTCCTCCAGCTTCAGCCTACCAAAGTATTGGGATTACAGGCATGAGCAACTGTGCCTGGCCTACACCCCTACTGTCAATTTCTGGGCCTTTCTGGGGCTCTTAGGCCGAGGGAACCAGCCCTGCTTCTGGATCTGGACTGTTGGTTTAGAGATCCACTTTCTAGTCTTCTTAGTAAGGTACCACGTGTTCATGACTTCCCAGTTTCCAAAATTTTGTCATTGTTGTGTCCTTGCAGGGTCTAATGCAAATAAAAGACTCCCTTTATTGCGGCGTGTGTGTGTGTGTGTACTTTGTGAAGGGCATGCGTTCAATCTGCCATTTAAAATTACATGTGACTGTTAATGTGTGGTCCTCCAGCCAGCAATGGCAGCATCACTCTGGGACTTGTTAGAAATGCACATTCTCAGCTAGATCCCAGACCTTCTGAATCATAAATTCCCAGGGTAGGGTCCAATAATCTGAATTTTAACAAGTCTTTATGAATTCTGATATATGCTCACATTTGAGAACCACTGTTGTTGGGTGTATTGATTCTTCTCTTTTCCCTCCCTGCTAACACAGGGGCTCCCGGCTTAGAGTATGGAATCATTTGGTCCAGGAGCACCACCTTACGGCTGCAGGGATACCTGGAGGATGATAGCAGACTTACCATGTGTCTGTTTTAGAGGTGAATATTCCTTCCATGAAGGCCTCTGGGGGCATCCACTTAACTGGCAGCATCGCACAGCCTCCCTTTCTGTAGTAGCTCGCCCTGTGGGGAAGGAGAGGAAAACCAAACTAGGATCTGGAGATGGCACTAAGCATCCGCTCTGTCGGGAAAGTTGAGAAAGTGGGAACAATATAGTCTACCCATTAAAGGTCTGAAATTAACCAACGGTCCTTGGTGGTTCATGAGGAGAGCAGGGGCACACAGATCTTTTAGTTAAGAACGTTGGTGTCATTTAATAGAAGACAAAATAACCCACGAGAGGCATGAGAGGAATGATCTATGCAATGACTAAGATACCTGCTAGCAGACGTTTAGCTTTCCCTGTTGGGTTTTGTTTGTTATAGCTCACAAAGAATAACATTACTGCAACCTTATAAGTATAGTGTGTTTCTGATGATCTGCAGTAATGCAAGATCCAAAATGGGAGAACTGAGAGCAGGGCTTGTGTCTTAATCATTTTGGATCCTCTGACACTCACAGCATTTAGTTCAGTGTAGGCAATCAACCAGTAATCTAGACAGCTGTGTGGACCCTGCCTGCCATGACACACCCAGACAAAAGAACACAGGGCTAGGCGTAGAGTTGGCTTGCTAGGTAGATGAGTTAATTTACTAGTTTTCATCAGTAATGTCATTAATGCAACTCACTGATAAAAACCAATAAATTAACTCATCTGCCTGTTAGGCCAATTGCATGTCTAGCCTGGTGTTCTCCTCTCTGAATGTGTTACAGGAGGCAGCTTCCTGCCAGCTGTTGACATTAATTAATTACCTCAATAAATATGTACTGAATATTTAGTGTGTATCAAGTACTCTGCCATGTGCTGAGGACATAAATAGGCCAGTCTCTCTCTCCCAAGGATATTGTTTGGTGGAAGAAATGGATATCTATGCATTGCAATATAGAACACCACATACAGTAATGTATGTGCAAGGCTCAGTGACACAAATGAAGAATGGATTCATTCTACTTGAGGCAGGGGTCAGGGACAGGGAAAGCTTCACAGAAGGGCACTCATGGAGCTGAGTAGGAAAGACGCTCTCCCAGAAGACCATTCCTGACCCGTGCCATTGCACAAAGTATAGAGTAGGTGGGGAACGAAGGACTGTAGATAACTTTGAGTGGTTGAAGCCTGGAGCTGGGAGCTGTCAGAGCTGAGCCTGGGAAGGAAAAGTCCGGTAACAGAGGGCTTGAGGAGTCATGCTGCAGCATTTGTATTTGAAATGAGAGGCAGTCCCAGGGTATTCTGAGGAAGGAGAGGAAGGAGAGGAAGGAACGCTGAGCTTGTGGGTAGCGTTAGAAGGTGAAGTGGAGCAAAGGAGAGGAGTACGACAGACAGCAGTGGTAGACGCTCCAGAAACGTCTTTACTACATCTTCCACGTGCTGCTGCCCCGTGGCACCGTGATAGCCTCAGCATGCTCACCCCTCTGGGGACTGTTAACATGTTTGACTGAGGCCTTGAGGGGTGGTGTCTGGATCAGTCTGACTTACTCTCCAAAGAGTTAAAGCTCCATATAACCACTGCTCCTCTCTCTACCCCTGTGAGTTAGGGAAGGGGTCATCCCATGCAAGGAGGGACTTGCTCAGCTCACATAGCAAGTCAGTGTTGTAAATAATCAGGGGAAAAAAAGGAACTAGGGGCTGGGAAGAGAAGAGTGAGCAAAAGTACAATTAAAGTAGTATTAGCTTTTAAAATTGAAGAAAATGTTTTTAAATGTAGCCTTGAAAATGCGGCAGGGAGAAAAAAATAAGGCTGTGTTAGGTACTGATGGGTTCTGCACTGTACTCCACATCTCCTGGGGTGGCTAAAGCTGAGCAATGAGCCAGGCCCTGCATCCTGCCTGATCTGGGATGCAGGTGCTTGGGGTGATAGAAACCATAGCCACTTAGAATTCCTGAGGACTGAGAAGAGGAGTTGAGGAAGTTCAGTAAAGTTCGCTTTGAAGGTCTTTCCACATCAGGTATCCAAGTTATCCCATGTCTCAGAGCATGGCCGGATTAGAGTTGGAACCAATGGACAAACTAATTAAGAACTTGGTGTCGGCTGGGCATGGTGGTTCACACCTGTAATCCTAGCACTTTGGGAAGCTGTGGTGGGCAGATTAACTGAGGTTGGGAGTTTGAGACCAGCCTGACCAACACGCAGAAACCTCGTCTCTACTAAAAATACAAAAAATTAGCCGGGCATGGTGGCGCAGTAATCCCAGCTACTCGGGAGGCTGAGGCAGGAGAATCGCTTGAACTCAGGAGGCGGAGGTTGTGGTGAGCCGAGACTGCACCATTGCACTCCAGCCTGGGCAACAAGAGCAAAACTCTGTCTCAAAAAAAAAAAAAAAAAGAACTTGGTGTCAATTATTGCAGGAAGTGTGATCCTGGATTCAGGCCTTCAGGCATGGTCACTAATTCAAGTTTCCCATGTCCTGAAAAGGAACTTAGTGAAATTTTAGGTGGAAAGTTGACAGGGTACCAGGAGATGATGTAAGGGACAAGCAGCCACACCCCATTCGCTTGAGGGGCTGAGGTGGAAGAGACAGGCCTCGAGGGCTGAGGCAGTCTTTACTCACCTGTAGATGTCTCGGGCCATCCCGAAGTCTCCAATCTTGGCCACTCTTCCAGGGCCTGGACAGGTCAAGAGGCAGTTTCTGGCAGCAATGTCTCTGGGAAGAAAGAAAATGCATGTCCTAATTTTATCCCTAGGAAGATAAGTATACTACGTCCATCACTAGGATTTTATCTCCAAGCTGAAGTTTAAATAGTTCCTTCTCCTCCCTATATTTCCTTTAGTATAGTATTCTTCAGTGTGAGAGAAACAGCCTTAACAATTCTAGGCCTCACAACTACAGAGAAATGGAAAAGGATTAGGGGAAATGATTAAAAATGTTTAATGGGGCAATCATAATGAAATGCAATATACTAGGAACTAGGATTTATTGGCCTTTTACTATGTGCTAAGTGTTGTTGTAAGTGCTTCATATATAATTCTCACAACAGCCCTATAAGACACAAGGTGCTATTACTGTCCTCATTTTATTTTTTAAAAAGTAAGCTAAAAGTAGATAACATAGGGTCATAAGGAATGTTATTTGGCCTTAGGCAGATTTGGAACAAACCACTGGTTGGTTTCTGCCAGTTGTTTGGAAAAGTGTTTTAGAACAGCATGACTTCCCTGAAATCAAATTCAAGTAGATTAAGATATTCACAAATATTTCTAGTTTTTTGTTTTGTTTTGTTTTGAGACGGAGTCTTGCCCTGTCGCCCAGACTGGAGTGCGGTGGCGCGATTTTGGCTCACTGCAACCTCTGCCTCCTGGGTTCAAGCAATTCTCCTTCAGCCTCCCAAGTAGCTGGAATTACAGGCATGCAGCACCACACCTGGCTAGTTTTTTGTATTTTTAGTAGAGACAGGGTTTCATCAAGTTGACCAGGCTGATCTTGAACTCCCGACCTTAGGCGATCCACTTGCCTCGGCCTCCCAAAGTTATTATTATTATTATTATTATTTTAAATAAGCCATTATGGTTCTTTTGTCCATGATTTTATCTAAAGCCTTTGCTAAGCTACATGACTGAAGAATCGCTTCTTTCAGGTGATAAAAAGTTGTCATCTCTGCTGTTGACTCTAGATGACCTGCTTTCCTGTGGCCTGCGCCTGAGGCATGGTCAACCACTGTCCAAGACTCATCAGCTTCTACTGTCTGACTGCTTACCGTTCTGGTCATGCATGTAGGAATGAGGGATACAGCCAGAAGAAGTCTAGGATGGGTCTCTAATAATATTAAGGTTCCTGTGCAGAAAAAAACAAGATGTACTTAGGGAGCACAGCTGCTGTTTCCATGTTCAACTGGTTTCATGATGGTTCTGATCCTAGGCTGAGAAAGGACTTAGAGAATCAACTGGCTGCTAGGATAGTATTTAAAAAATAGGATCTTGATTGGGGATCATGGCTGAGGGTACAAGAATAATGGGTTCAGGTAGGAGATTTATGTTGTTAATACTGCTGACCTGATCCAGAAGGTTTAAGTTGAATTTTGAGGTGGTGTATAAAATGCCCCCATAAAACCATACACGCATAACACATATGACATCAAAAAGGAAGAAAAATAGTTGGCTGTATAGCCATTAATTCTCAAGAGAAATATAGCAAAGTAGACCAGGAATAATATTTATGGCTCCAGAAAAGTCTTTACACTGATGCGTATGGAATGGTTGCTTTAAAAAGTGATCGTGAATTTAATGGCAAGAAGGTAAATGCAATATACAGAACATACCAAGAGTTGGGAGAATGACACATCATTCATGAAATGGCAATGAACCATGTCCAAAGGAAAAAGATCTAATTTTTTTAAAAAACGGAAGCATGTGGATCTGGTAAGGAAGTTCCACTCTGAATTCCAAAAGCGTAGAAGTATACATGTGTGGAAGTCCATGAATCTTAAGAGCAGATAAAGGGTGCAGGGAGAGAGAATTCGAGGCAACTCTGTTGTGGGTATGTACCATAGACCTCTTAGCTAGTTAGAACATGTAAAAGACGTTTTTTTCCATACAAATGACCAAATTACCCCAGAAGAAAAGCTTTGATTGAGATGGACAATTTCTGCCAGAAGTTTTCTTTTGCTTAAAACAGATCATCTGATACCTTCTTGATTTGGTGTTTGACAATTTAATTTCTTAGAAAGGAGAAAAGAGCAATAAACAATTGCTCTGGGATCTAATTCCAACCTTCAGTAACTATTTCTAGATATGGAAGTGACAGGAGTCTTGAGGGAATGTAATCCTGTTAACATCATAACAACAGAGCATTGGGTATCATCGAAATGTCTTGTGGCTGTAGGAAAGCAGATGTCAAAAGGTCAGAGGACAAATGGAAATGATCCCTCAGCCAGAGAATCTGTACGTTATGGTGACCAACGTGGGCAGAGATCCAAAAAAAAGGAGAAAGGATCCCAATGCTAAGTGAAGGAAGACATCTGGTCACCAAGGTGACACAGGTTGCTCTCAGAGGAGTCCACACTTAAAGCACATGGACAAAAGATGGAAAGATGACTCTAATAAAGGATGACTTCAAAAAGTGCACAGCTTTGTCTCGACTGAGTAATGGAATGGCAAAGCCCAGAGTTGAGATTTATGGGAAGTTCTGGGTACAACGCAAAGGACAAGAACAGGACTGGGGAGCGGGGGAAAGGGCTGAAAAATGACCTTAAAAAAAGAACAGAACTGATACAGTCTTAGAAGCAGCAGATGGTGGAGCTGCTCCCGGCTCCTTTTTTGCTTTCATTATTTCTATGAAGCAGCATGACCTGCAAGTTGGAAAGGGTTAGAAGCTAGAGGGAGAACTGAAGGCCAAAAGGATGAAGTGACAGTAAGAGGATAAGCTCTTCTGAGAGTTGATTGCCTCCTGTTAGGAGTGACTTTGGAACTTAGGCAGGTGTACTTCCTGACTTCTCGTTTCCCCGTTTTTATTAGGGAGAAAGCATAGCTTGTTATATATTTGCATACTTTTCTATTCCTTTTCTTTTTTTTTATTTTGAGACGGAGTTTCGCTCTTGTTGCTCAGGCTGGAGTGCAATGGCGTGATCTCGGCTCACCGCAACCTCTGCCTCCTGGGTTCAAGTGATTCTCCTGCCTCAGCCTCCCAGGTAGCTGGGATTACAGGCACCCCCTCACCACGCCCGGCTAATTTTGTATTTTTTTTTTTTTTTTGAGACAGAGTCTCGCTCTGTTGCCCAGGCTGGAGTGCAGTGGCCGGATCTCGGCTCACTACAAGCTCCGCCTCCCGGGTTTACGCCATTCTCCTGCCTCAGCCTCCCGAGTAGCTGGGACTACAGGCGCCCACCACCTCGCCCGGCTAGTTTTTTGTATTTTTTAGTAGAGACGGGGTTTCACCGTGTTAGCCAGGATGGTCTCGATCTCCTGACCTCGTGATCCGCCCGTCTCAGCCTCCCAAAGTGCTGGGATTACAGGCTAATTTTGTATTTTTAATAGAGATGGGGTTTCTCCATGTTGGTCAGGCTGGTCTCGAACTCCCAACCTCACATGATCCTCCCTCCTCGGCCTCCCAAAATGCATGATAAAATTACAGGCATGATAATTTTCTATTTCTAAGCTCTTACAGCATCTCTCATTTCCTATTTTGTACTTACATATTTTAATGATTATGAACATGCCTTAAACTCTTTGAAGACGTGTGTTAATAAATTATTGTGAGTTCACCAAGTTATTATTTACTACATTAGAGGCAAATCATTAAGGAAGAGCTCTGCAAAGAGCCTGATGATCTGTTTTAGTTTTCTGATTTCAAGCTGTCAGCTGAGAAAGTCATCAGCTTTCACAAGGAAAGACATACATGATATATGATGTTCATAGCATGATGTCCCAGTCCATACAGCTTTTAAACACAAGAATGATTATAATAGAAGAAATGAAGTATAGAAGTAATGAAAATCATCATTATGCTTCATTTCAGAGTATTTTAGAAAAAAATAATATATCCAACAAACATTGTGTCCCCATTATATGCCAGGTATACAAAGATGAATACAACAGCATCCTTGCCTGTAAGCCACCCATTGTCAAAAATGCAATTCCTTAACTTCCCCATATGGAGCCCAGTTTTCTACGGGGGGGGAGGGGGGAGCCTTAAAGTGATATAGGACTTGAACATTCAAGATACAGGCAGGGGGCCTCACAGGAGGTTAAGAATTAACTTATTAACTTATAGGTCTCCAGCCCTGGCAAGGATATTTTATGACACCTGTTTTATGTAAGGGGCAAGTGAAACCCTGATAGAATAAGTTACCATCTTAAAGACAAAGCCAAAGGGGCCAGGAGCCATCGCTCATGCCTGAAATCCTAGCACTTCAGGAGGCCAAGGTGGGAGGATTACTTGAGCCCAGAAATTCGAGACCAGCTTGGGCAACAAAGTGAGACCCTGTCTCTCAAAAAAAACAACAAACCAAAGCTGAATCATCCTACAAACAAACAGCCCTGGAGGGAGACCTAGTGATGTGAGCCCTTGAGATCTGCAGGAAAGCACACAGACAGCGACAGGATGACAGGAAGAGCATGGTCACTTTGACTCACCGGTGGATGAAGTGGTTTTCCTCCAAATACTGACAGCCACAGGCAATGTCCCGAGCCACGTGCAGAAGGTCCAGCATGGCCAGGGAGGAGGGCTGGCTCTGTGGGGAGAGAGAAGCGGGCCACTGACAAGGAGCTTGTCAGTGAGAGGAGGGAAATCGGAAACGCTGGCTTCCAGTGCTCACAAGGAGGCAGACAGTGAACATGCAGCTACACCAGGGGCCTTGGCCCTGGCTGCACACTGGAAATCACCTGGAGGCATCTGAAAGAATTTGGATGCCTGGGCCTCAACCCAGACCTCTCTAAGTGGGCACAGCATTTGTGTATTTGAAATCTTCCCAGGTAATGTGATGCTAGCGTGCAGCGAAGGCTCAGAGCACCCAGACTCCGGGAAGCCAGGCTGGAGCAGGTGTTCTTTCGTTTTAATTTATTGTGCACATTCTCTCACCCCAATCTTCATAAGCATTTGAATATCCCCAATTTATAAACAAGTTTGGGAGGAATCCACAGGGGAATAGGGCAGTTTTTAAAATCCTCGATTTAAATGTCTTAAAATATTTCTTAAAACTAATTTTCTTCAAGCAGATCCAGCGCTAAAATTGACTGAAAAAGAAAAGCTTTTGGGAAATGCTGGGCAATTATGAGCTATCGCAAGCTTTTCTGCATGAGGTCTCTTTCATGCAAAAGGAGATGTCACCTCCCTACCCCTCTGGGGACATCCCATCTTGGCTTCCTGGACAGCCTTGCTGAGCACAATGAAGCCTTTTCAGAAGGCGACATCCCATCTTGGCCTCTCTTTTAATTCCTAAATCCCTGACATGTGCGGCAGCTCAGCCTCAGGCAGTGTCCGAGTCACTGTGTTGTTCCATGTTGATTTCACCATTTCCCCAAGTCACTTTGTTGAAGTTCCAGAGACAAGGATCTCACCCTCCCTCAGCACCCAGCACAATGCTGGACACACTCTGGGGGTTCAGTGAGTGTTGGGCGGCTGATTGGTTGATGACAGCCCCAGGCCAGGATTTACCTGGAGGAACATGATTCACATACCTACTCAGGAAAGCTCATGCAGGTAGGGTGTCAAATCCACCCCTTTAGGGCTGCCCCAAGAAAGGTGTTTAAGCTGGTGACTCTTGAGCACCTGGGCAAACTCCCTGCAGGAAATGCATGCTTGTAGCTCTCCTGTTTTGCTCTTCTTTCAAAGAGGGGGCTGAGGACTGGGCTCTTTAGTCCTGAGGTGCTCACAGGGAAGTCACCTAGCCAGGTGGCAGCGGTGGAACCAGGTGGGGTCTGGGTACAGGCTTAGCCTGCTGGGGATTTTCTCTGCCATAGATCAGGGCCTCCCCAGGACTCTGTGGAACAATGGCCTGGGTCTGGTGGAGGCAGAACAGTCTTGCTTCTCTAGGCCATGCTTCAGTTCTAGGGGAGAAAACTGAGAGTGGATAGTACCCCTACCGGTGCCTTACATTCCCCAGAGCACACACATGATCTGCCGTGTGGTAGGTCTGGAAGAGAAGGTGATCTCCGTATTAAAGATGAGAAGGCTGAGGGCTCAGAGAGGCTAAGTGACTCACTCCAGGTCACACAGCTAATAAGAGTGGAGCCAAAGCTGCCCGGAGATGGGCTTTAAGGATCTGGGTCAGGAGAGGCATCCTCCCTCCTCCTTGGGAGAGGATCTAAGGAGTTAAAATGGAAGAGAGAGTGCCTGAGCGGGGACGGAGTGTATGTGAATACGGTGCCCAACGCACAGCGAATGCGGAGTACAGCACCCACAACGGCAAACACCATACTTCAGTGGACCATCGAGCTGACCCGGGCTCCAGCCTGCTGGCCCCTTCCAGGCCATGTGGTCTGGGGCTGGCTGCTCAGCCTCTCAGAGCCACAGTTTCATTGTGACAGTGGCATGGGACTGTCGGCCTCCCTGGGTTGTCAGGAGCACGATGCCAGCAGCCTCGGGCAGTGCCTCATCAGGGGACCCGAGGTATTGAGGGGTTGCCACATGGGAGGCCAGGGGGACTCGGAAAACAGCTCCTTGTGGCTGGCTCTCCAGAGGCCTCCTCAGGAGCAGAGGTACCCCCTCTGCCCCTAACGAGAAATAAATACCTTTTCGCTCTTCAGGAACGTGCCCTCTGTCCCTACCAGAGCAGGCCCCGGTCCTAGCTGTGCTAGAGCCTTCAGGAAGATTCTCTTCCTGCCAGTATCTTTGTGTCTTAGTGCCCATCACTGAGGATGCAAAGGCCATAGATGTCTCGGAAGGCCCAGGAGCCTGGAGCGCTGTGGGGACTAAATCTCTCCGGGTATTAACTCATGGGCCAGGCTGATGTGGCTCCCTGTCCTTGGCTGCTCAGAGCAGATTAACTGCTCCACTAATCAGTGTGCGCAGGGCAGTCAGCAAGCATGGGTTATGGCGGGGGTGTGTGTGTGTGTGTGTGGTGTGTATGCGTGTGGTGCGTGTTGTGTATATATGCATGTGGTGTGTGTGTTTTGTGCATGTGTTGTGTATATATATGTGTGTGGGGTGTGTGTGGGGGGTGTGTGTGGTGTGGTGTGTATATGTTTGTGTTTTGTGTATTGTGTGGTATGTGTAGGGTGTGTGAGGTGTGCGTGGTGTGTATGTGTGTGTGGGTGTGTGTAGGTGTGTCTATGTGGTATATATGTGTGGTGTGTCTGTGTGTGTAGTGTGTGTGGTGTGTATATGTCTGTGTGGTATATATGATGTGTGTTGTATATGTGTGTGTGGTGTGTGCGTGGCATGTGTGATTGTGTGGCGTGTGCGTGAGTATATGTATGTGGTATATGGTGTGTCTGGGTGTGTGGTGTGTGTGTATGGCATGTGTAATGTGTCTGGTGTGTGTGTGTGTGAGTATATGTATGTGGTATATGTGTGGTGTGTGTGGCGGGCGTGTGTGCGGAGTGTGTTGTGTATATGTGAGGTGTGTGTGTATGTGTAGTGTATGTGGTATATGTCTATGTGGTGTGTTTGTGTGTGGGGGGCGTGTGTGTGGTGTGTGCTGAGGCAGGAGAATCACTTGAACTGGGTAGTGTGTGTGTTGTGTGTATGTGTGTGGTGTGTTTTGTGTGTTGTATTTAGATGTGTGTATATGTTTTGTGTATGTAATGTACGTGTGTGGTGTGTTTTTTGTGTGTTGTGAATATGTGTGGTGCCTGTGATGTGAGTTGTGTATATGCATGTGGTGTGTATGTGTGTTTTTTTGTGTGTGTGGCATGGGTTGTGTGTGTCTGGGAGGGGCTATAGGCATGGGTGGGGTGGGGTGGGAGGACCTGTGGACACTGGCAAACCTGATGCTGAATCTAGACTTGCAGAGCATCGCCAGCCAGTGCACCCATCTGCATCTCTCCTGGGGCAAAGAGTTGGAATCAGGATTTTATCCCCATCTGCCACTGGAGTGCGGCACTTCCTCGGACCCAGCTGTTCTCACGGCCATGGTTGTGGGCCTTGCTATGGGTGCTCCCCATGGTGGGTTTGCGGGATGGAGTTGGAAGATCAAGTAGGCGTGGGTGCTGCCTGATGGGAATGATCAGAGTCTCTGCTGCCCGCCTGTGTGCATGAGAGTCCAGGGAAGGAGAGCCGCGGCTCTGAGGGCTGTCTACGCATGGGTTCCTCTGAGAGCACGTGTGAGTGGGAGGCCCCTAGGGCACTGGTGTTCCCTTCAGGGATGCCCTTTAGGTCAATATCCTACTTTTACTGTTGAGAAAACGGGAGTGATTTGTTTGGTATCACAGCTTCTGAGGGGCTATTCCCAAAGGATAATATATTCTAAAAATAAAATAGAATAATATTGAGATTGCTTCCTTTCTAAAGCATTAATAGCTTCTCCCTAAGTATTCAGAGATGAACCATCACAGGACAAAGGGTAGGCATCCTTTTGCCAAGTGAAAAACAGAATAGGATTTTTCTTTTTTTTTTCTTTTTTCTTTTTTCTTTTTTTTTTTTTTTTGAGATGGAGTCTCGCTTTGTTGCCCAGGCTGGAGTGCAATGATGCAGCTCACTGCAACCTCCGCCTCTCAGGTTCAAGCGATTCTCCTGCCTCAGCCTCCCGAGTGCTGGGATTACAGGTGCCCGCCACCAGGCCTGGCTAATTTTTGTATTTTTAAAGTAGAGATGGGGTTTCACCACGTTGGCCAGGCTGGTCTCGAACTCCTGACCTCAGGCGATCTGCCCGCCTCAGACTCCTAAAGTGCTGGGATTACAGGTGTGAGACACTGTGCCCGGCAGATGTTTTAAAATTGATGCATATAAAGATGAGAGGGAATGATGAAAAAGAGGCAAAGAATGCAGATGGGGAACATAAAGTGCTGCAGAAGCCCACTTTGAAAAGCGGTGAGGAATGGCCAGGTGCAATGGTTCATGTCTGTTATCCCAGCACTTTGGGAGACCGAGGCGGGCAGATCACCTGAGGTCAGGCATTTGAGACCAGCCTGGCCAACATGGTGAAACCCTGTCTTTACTAAAGATACACAGATTAGCCAGGCGTGGTGGCACATGCCTGTAATCCCAGCTACTCGGGAGGCTGAGGCAGGAGAATCACTTGAGCTGGGGAGGCAGAGGTTGCAGTGAAGCGAGATTGGGCCACAGAGCCTGGGCAACAGAGCCAGACTCCATCTCAAAAAAAAAAAAAAAAAAAAAAAAAGCAGCGAGAAGTCCCCACTTTTCCTTGGCACCAGATGTCCCTTATGTGTTTGGAGCCAGCATTGCCATCGTTGGTCTCTTGCCTGTGGACTGTGGACCTCTGGAATCCAATAAGCCAACTGTATTCTGAATGTCTTCCATACAGCCATCTTCCATACAGCCACTACTCACAGGCATTGCCATGTCCCAAATAGTCACAGACACTGTTGTGATTAATGACCTACACCTTTATAAAGAGATTACTGAATTCTTAATGGCTTTTGTCATTATTGACTGAATTCATGGATACTAAAGTACAGCTCTTACCTATCCCTGGCATATAGGAAGCCCTGCATAAATATTTACTGAATAAATATTGGGTCTGTAGAATTTTTTTGACATTAAAAAGGGATCTTCATTCCCGAAGAGGTGGAGTCCTGGGACCAAGTGCTGTTTTCATCTGTACCCACGCATTCGTTTCCATGACAGGCACGGCTGACCTGGGCATCCACTCTGTCTACCGCGTCTGCACGTCCGTTCTGTCATTTCATGTTTGCACAGATGTTGTCGGAGGCCAGAGCCTTTTATCCCATCTCAAAGGGCCTTTGATCCTGATCTAAGGTCTGTGGAGCCACTGAGCTCCAGAGCTGGCAGGAAGTGAGGACAGAGACCTTGTCTGATTCTGCACCCCAAGCCTGGTGCCTGCACACAGTAGGTCATCAGGGAACCCCTGGGAGTATCAGGGTGATTCCAACAAGTGAATCAGGTGGAATTCAGGCCTCTGAAGTCTGAGTTTCAGCATCTGGAGGCACACCTCCACCCACTTTCTCTTCACAGCACATGTTTCTCCATCCCTCATGTCCCTTGGCTGATTCACCCTCTTTTATCCTGTGTAGGATTTACTGATATTAGTCCTGTCTGTATGCTGGAAATCACATTCCTTTTTCACAGTCCACTGAATCCTTATCTTACAAAGTTGGATTTTGTGACCCTGAGAATTCATGCAGGAGGCCCAGCTAAGCCCCAGGGAAGCTGCTGCCACAAACACATCCGCATTGGTGGCTCTGGAGGACCACAATTGGACATTTGAAATCAGCCAAGGATCCCAGGAAGGACAGCTCACCTGGGCCTGGTGGGTATATGGGAGGCGGGGAGGACCATGACTGGGGTGCTGCCGGAGTGTGCCTGGTTGGCAACGAGAGCCACACAGAGGAAAAGCGGGGCCAGGGGTTGAAAGAGCAGATTGGGTGAGGGTGGGACTCTGGCCCTGAGAAGTGGCTCTTCCAAGGGCAGGCCCCCTCCCCGCTGTGGGCGACCCTCAGGTAGTGCCTGCTGTTAGAGGGCAGAACTTGGGGACAGGCTCCTGTTAGAATCTCCAAGGGCGGCACTCTGGGTTGGGGGTGGTGAGAGATTGAATGATCTGCCTTTCCTTGCTGGACTTTGTTCTTTGTAATAATATTGGAATCATCTTTCATCATCAAAGGAGAGAGATGCCTTTGTGTTTGAGAGAGGGAGAGAGAAAGGGGAAGAGAGAGAGAGAGAGAGAGAGAGAGAGAGAGAGAAGGCCCACTCCTCACTCCTGCCCTCTCCTGCCCCTGAAGTCCTTGAACTTGCCAAGTGCTGGGCTCCCAGACTCCCTTTGCAAAGTCTCTCTCCTTTGCATACATACGACTTTCTCTTCTTGAGCCTCAGGAAGGTCCAGCAGGAGAACCAGGGCTGTGCCTCTCCCCAAAGTGTGATACCACGTGTCCCCCACTGACAGCAGCGCTGCTGAGAATCTCAGGGCATGAGGGTCAAAGGCTCTGCCCTCCTAGGTGGTGGTGGGAAAGTCAGTGAATCTGATGCTTGTACCCTGGCAGAGATGCCGGGATGCCTGGCAGTGTTGGCTTTAAGCACCCAACCTCATCTTGATAGTTTACAGTTTCCCAGAGGGGACCACTGGATAAGCAGTAAGTTGGAGAGAGCACTGAATCAGGAGTCATAAGGCCTGAGTTCTAGTCCCAGCTCTTCCACTTCCTGTGTGGCCACGGCAAGTCCCATAATCTCTCTGGGCCACAGCTTTCTCATTCATAGAACTGGGGAGAGATCTGCATCGTCTGTTCATAGGGTGGTGTTGAGAAATGTGAAAGGTCTGAGGAGGATGCTAGCTGACGAGGGCTCTTATGAGACAGGGGTAATCTTTATCTCCCTGCTCCCTGCCCAGTCCTCCTGCCAGGTATGCTCAGGTGCACACACATTCCTCTTCTCAAGGGGTAAGACAGTATTCTTCTTAGATACCGAGATGGGTCACCCAGTGGCTAAGGTGAAGGTATTTTACATGGATCCTGACTGAAGGTGGAGATCAGAACAGTCATGACCTTGCAGGGCTTCCATCACCACTTTGAGTCCCTGTGAGCAGTGTGGTCACGTTGGGCTTTCTGGAACCACTGGCTGTTGGTCCTTCCCTGCTTTCCTGGGGGCCGGAGGGTGGCCGCTGCTTTTACTGTGCAAGTCTTCCCTGTGATCCCCACAGTACAGTGGTTCCTGGAGGAAGGCTAGATCCTAACCCTGGGGCCTGCTCAGTTCCAGTTCCTGGTACCCAGGGCCTGCTGAAGACCTGCAGACCCAAGCATGGGCAGCTGGGCTCTGGGTCTGCCCAGGGTGCTATGTTTAATAATTTAGAACCACCTTTGAGATGTTCTAGTCCAATCCTCAAATCTCACCTGTGTGGATACCCAGGTTAAAGGTTTAAGACTGCCCTAAACCACATGGGTGTCTAATGGCCAAGTTGGGGCTGGAGCTTGGGATTCCTGGGTCCACCCTGGGTATCTTCACTTCCCAAGCTCTGTTAACCATAAGATGTGTGTAGCACCTTCCTAAATATGAGGTTGGAATGTCCAGGCATTATTATCCCTACTTGAGACATGAGGACAGTGGGTTCTGAATGAGTAGCTGCAGAGTGACCTGCCCGGGTCAGTTGCTTGAGTAGTGACATGGCTGGCATGAAAGTTCCCCTCTGTGTTTGTCTCTAGTGTGGTTTTCCAGAGTCAGCAGACCATGGGAATGGATCCAGGCTATAGAATGCAGATATGGTTTGGATTTGTGTCCCTGCCCAAATCTTACCTTGAATTGTAATCCCCATTGTTGGAGGAGGGGCCT